ACAAATAAATTAAAAACATATAAGGACATCTTAAATGAAGAAGGAAAACTAAAAACAAGAGAAGAATTGAGAATGCAAAATGTGGAAATAGAGTGGTGGTCATATTTGCAATTAAAATCCAGATATAAGTCTGATATGGAAAAAACTGGAATTCAAATGGAACCAAATCAGTTGGATAAAATTTATTAGGCCCCAATGAGAAATTAATAACCAAAATTTATAATTTTCTATTGGAATATAAACTAGCAGAGGAAGTAGTTAAAGAGAATATGATCACATGGGCGACGAATTTTGGGTATGCAATAGAATTAAATAAGTGGGAAAATTTGTGGAAAAATATTAATAAATTAACATTATCTGTACCATACAAAGAAAATGCTTATAAATTGTTCTATAGATGGCATCTACCACCGGCGCGAATTTCTAAAATGTTTCCTGGCACATCTCCACTCTGTTGGAAATGTAAAGCGCATAAAGGGACATATTATCATATATGGTGGTCATGTTCCAAAGCTAAAAAATTCTGGAACAATATAAAAATGCAACTAGAACAAATAATAACTCAAAAGGTGCCATTAAAGCCAGAAACTTATTTATTAGGAATACCTACAAGCAAATATGAAAAAGAAATAATATATTTAATAACACACATTTTGACTGCAGCAAGAATTATATACGCACAAAATTGGAAACAAGAAGAGGTCCCGACTCAAGAGAAATTAATATCCAAAATTATGGAATGCGCTGAGATGGATAAACTTACCAAGGAGATCCAAGGAAAAGAAGAATCTGAATATTATCTAGTCTGGCAAAAATGGTATAAATGGTTAGAGGGAAGTGGAAAAAGAAGAGAAGAAGAAAGAAAGAAAAATTGAATAAAAGAAAAGATATCAATAGAGTAAAATAAAGTTTTAAATCAAATGAAATTTAAGAAAGAGACACGAGATATCAATAAAATAATATCATTATATAAGGTGAGAGAAATATTGTATATTGAAGAATATAGGATATTGATATTGTAACAATTCAGATATTATAGGTAGATGTTATAAAGATGATGTTTGTTGTAAATTGTTTTACTTGCATTTATAAATGTATTATGTGGTTTCTTAAATTAATAAAAATTAAAAAAAAAAAAAAAAAAAAAAAAAAGATTACTATTATACTTGTGCCCAGGGGAAAGAGGATACCACAATTAACTGAAGAAACAAGGAAGCTGTGTTCCAGTGGACTTATTAAAAATATACAGGGTAAAATAGTAAGCAAAGGAATTTCGAACCGTCTTGAGGAAAGGACTTAGAGAAGTGATTATGCAGCCCAGAGATTGAAGAAAGAGTGAGAAAGGAACTCAAAAACACTCCATCTTGATTTTGTTACTTCTAGCGATCTCTTTGGCAGAATATTTTAAGGTGCCCTTATTACTTTATTATACTTTATTACTTTAAGATAACTCAAGGTGGTGAACATACATGCAGACAATCTTCCCTCATCCTATTTACCTGTTTTCCCTGCAAGAATGCCTAAGACGGGACTAGAACTCCCAGGCTCCTGGTGATTGACCCAAAGTCACCCATCCTAAATTGAAACTAGAATTCAGAGTCTCCTGGTTTCTAGGTCAGCATCTTCAGCACTACACCAAACTGCCCCGCTTTTAATATTGGAAGATATATTAATCAATTATTTTAATTATTACTGGTAGATATTAACAAATAATAAATATCTACCAACAGCTAAATGTTATAGTCTCACTTTGGTCTTTCATGTTTTCTTGTTGTTGTTGCTTTGGTAGGGTTTGACTTGATGGAATTATTCAGTGTACGGGGATATATTCCGAATGAAAGACGATGGAACCCAGAGCTCTTATGTTCGGCTAGGAAGTTTTCCCATCGTTCAGCGAACACAGTAAGTTCCCCCTCTTCTTTTGAAACCATTTCTTCAATTGTTTCACTTCCCTAATATGATCCTTTTAAATTCAGAGTTGGAATTGAAATCATCCAGGTTTATAATACACCAATAAAGTTTATGAGCCTCGATGGTGCAGTGGTTAGAATGCAGTACTACAGGCTACTTCTGCTGACTGCCAGCTGCCTGCAATTTGGCAGTTCAAATCTCACCAGGCTCAAGGTTGACTCAGCCTCCCATCCTTCCGAGGTGGGTAAAATGAGGACCCAAATTGTTGGGGTATTATGCTGACTCTGTAAACCACTTAGAGAGGGCTGTAAAGCACTGTAAAGAAGTATATAAATCTACATGCTATTGCTATACAGTCCAGAATTGTGATTCTGTAAATATCCACAAGATATTGATCCCATCTTGTTCAAACAGGAAATGAAAGTAATAACAAAGGACTTAATGAATGGAAACACCCATCTCACGCTTGGTTTTAAAGAATTTCTCCTTTTAAATATGATCTTTCAGGACCATGGAAGTAGAAATATATTTTCTATTTATTCACAACGAAGAGGTAATGACTGTGCTCTAGAACAGCAGGCAGCACTGCAAGGACAAAAGAGGAAATACTTTTGGACATGATCCTAAGGAGTAGGATGGGCCACATGAGTGTTACTATTGATCTGAGCATATTGATCTGTTTCTTTTGAAAATAGTAGGTATGCTGAAATCTACCTAATCTACCGTGTTTCCCCGAAAATAAGACCCTGTCTTATATTTTTTTGAACCCTGAAATAAGCGCTCGCCCTTATTGCCATGTGCTCAAAAGCCCAATTTATTGGGCTTATTATCAGGGGATGTCTTATTTTGGGGAAAACAGGGTATGCATACAAGTGTATTGCCATCAAATTCAAGTCCAGTCATAACAAAGAGACCATCAACAAGCCAAAATGGAAGAAAAAACACCAAAAACACTTTCCCACTTTCCCAATCAACACTTTCCCACTTTCCCAATCAACACCCAGATGAGCACAAATAACATTAAGATAACATCAGACCAACAATCAAGTAACATTAAGAATAATCAGACCAACAATCAAGAATTAAACACCACTCTAATCAAAGAACTGCCAAACAAGCTAACAGTAAACAGGGCAAAACCACTACAATATAAAAGTCTGTAGAGATTCTCAGTCATCCGGGTCATGGTTGTCCTAAAGGTCCTTTTTCAAGAGGCAACTGGACTTCCTTGTTTTTTTCTTTGAATATTTTACATTCCCCATCTTCCCATTCCCCACCCACCAAGAAAGTCCAGTTGCCTCCTGAAGTAGCACCTTTGGGACAACCATGACCTGGATTGTTAAGGAATATGTGCAGAGTAAAACCCTTGAGTAGCAAGGTTGTGCACATGAGAAACGACTGAGAGTGATTGTGAATAAGCACTGTCAATACACAGACGCACTGAGTTTGTGATATTCTTTTACTTTTAGGAAAAAGCAAAGCAAAGTCCAATAAACAATCCAGGTCATACACAGATAAAGATAGTTAAATTGTCAATCCAGGGATATTCCAAGAACAAAGTCTTCTTACCAGTTGTTGTAGTCATATGCAATAAAATAGTTCTTTTTGGAGTTGCAAACAGGAACAAGTACAGCAGTAAAACAATCAGTAAAACAGTAGAAAACAACAAGTAGCCATGATCAAGCAGTGATCATGCAGAGAGAACAGGCAGAGAGGAGCAGAGGTAGCAATAATAATGTAATAAGAAAAATAAGCTATGATTCAAGCTTCCTCTTAAGTGCATTGGCTACAGAGCTAGCCAATCAGAATACAGTATGATGCAATACAGCATTACAGTCTTAAAGTTATACACTACATTTTGACTGCAAACATGCATTGATGGTTTATATATATTGCCAACCCAACCAGTTAGGCAATAGCCAATCCCTAACATGGATGACTGAAAATCTCTACAGACTTTTAACTATACAATTTGAGGTGAACACCTTTGAATGGCTTTCCAGAGGGAAAAATTGCAGATTACAGATTACACTTCCTTCCAACTGGAAGTTGGGAAATGGGTCGTTTCAGGCCTCTGAGGGGGTGGGGAAGGCTGTTTTCACCCTCCCCAGATGCATAGAGAGGATCTGGAACCAGGTGAGAAAGAAAAATGGGGCTTCCCCAACCCCCCAGGCCCTCTGGAGGCAGGAAACAGCTTGTTTCCCTACTTCTGATGGGCCCAGAAGGCCCAAAAATCAGCTGGCTGGCACACGCATGTGCACCAGAGCTGAGCTGGTGTGCCCACTGATATGGCTATGCGTGCCACCTGTGGCACACTGCCGTAGGTTTGCCATCAATGGTTCTAGAATATCGCAGAAGAGTGGACATCCTTTAAAGCCAACTGAGAAAAGGGTATTTCCATTCATTATATCCATTGCTAATGCTTTCATTTCCCATTTGAATAAGACAGCGCTGTTTCAATTGCTCACTTTCCAATACATGCTGCCATTATTACTGAAGTAGCAAAATATCCAAACATGTGTTCTGACCTAGGCTATCTATCTATCATCTATCTATCTATCTATCTATCTATCTATCTATCTATCTATCTATCTATCTATCTATCTATCTATCTACCTACCTACCTACCTACCTACCTACCTACCTACCTACCTACCTACCTACCTATCTATCTATCTATCTATCTATCTATCATCTATCTATCTTACAGTAGAGAAAAAAATGGAAGAAATTTAGAAAAGAGACCAACTCGTCAAATATTTCATACACTAGTTATTCCTGTTTCTCTTTGGGCTGAAAAAAGGGTTGAAAAATTGGAAGCAATTTAACTTCTAAACTAATTTTTCTTTACTTTCTTATTCTGAGGAAGCAAAATAACTGTTTATTGCAGATATTTACCACCTTCCGTCTTTCTCTGCTACGAGAGTTAGTGCTTCCTACGTATCCACAGCCAGTTTGATTAATAACCATTATAGACCGCAGGGAACAAAGAATTTATTCTCCCACACTATGATTTTGAAGAATAGTTGCCCAGATGTATGTAAGCTAAATACTTTTCATTACTTTCTCTCCCCACCTCCTTCCTCCAGAGATGTCTTCCCACAAGGGCTTCCGGATGAGTATGCTTTTGTTGCCACTTTCAAATTCCGCAAGTCATCCAGGCGAGAAGATTGGTACATTTGGCAGATCATTGACAAATATGGCATACCACAGGTAAGATTGCTTTTTCAGCCTTAAAGAAGTTGAATTAGTTCTTTCCAGCTCATTACGCAGCACTGTTGGCCTTCTGTATGAGAATACTGTAATGCTCTCTACATGGGGTTCCCCTTGAAAAGCACCCGGAGGCTCCGACTGGTCCAGAATGCGGCCGCGTGGGTGGTTATGGGTGCAACTCGTTGTGCCCACGTGACACCTCTCCTGCGTGAGCTGCACTGGTTCCCAGTGGTCTTCTGGGTGCGATTCAAGGTGTTGGTTACCCCCTTTAAAGCGCTCCATGGCATTGGACCTGGGTACCTTCAAGACCGTCTGCTGCCACCAATAGCCTCCCACCGGCCAGTCCGCTCCCACAGAGAGGGTCTCCTCAGGGTGCCATCGGCCAAATTATGTCGGCTGGCAACAACCAGGCGGAGGGCCTTCTCTGTCGGAGCCCCTGCCCTTTGGAATGAATTGCCCCAGAAATGCGTAAGATCTCCGACCTCCGTGTATTTCGCTGTGCCCTCAAAACCTTGTTGTTCCGCCAGGCCGGGCTATCAATGTAAAGATTTTAATTGGTTTTAAATGTGGGATTTTAAATTTGGGGGTTTTATAATTGAGCCAATTATTTCATAATTTTAATTATTTTTAAATTTTGTCTGTCTTTTTGCTTTTAATCAGGCTGCACACCGCCCTGAGTCCTTCGGAGAAGGGCAGTATAGAAATAAAATTATTATTATTATTATTATTATTATATTATTATTATTATTATTATTATATTATTATTATTATTATTATTATTATTATTATTATTATTATTATTATTATTCTGTTGACTGTAGCACCTTGATTAACAAAACTGGTTTGTATATACTAGCTGGGCTAGGCGCCAATATATAGGAAGGCCTAACTATCCAAAAATGAAGGAAGATTAGGAGTGGTTGCTTAGAACATAGAATAATAGACTTGGAAGGGATCTTGGAGGTCTTCTAGCCCAACCCCCGGCTTGAGCTGGAGACCCTATACTCGTGATGGTGAACCTATGGCATGTGTGCCAGAGGTGTCACACAGCACCGTCTCTGATGGCACGCGAGCCGTCGCCTCAGCTCAGCTCCACAGCGCATGTGCACATGCCTTCCTCCAGCCAGCTGATTTTCAGGTCTCTGCTGCACATGCACGGGGGGCGGGGCACATGCTGGAGACAAATGTGCATGTGTGGGGGTGGGGGGCTCACGCACGCATGCACGGGGCGGGGAGGGCAGGGGGTCATGTGTACATCCATGCGGGGAGGGGGGAGTGCAGGGGGTCACCAACGCATGCATGGGGGGTGGGGGAGCACTGGGGAGTTGCACACACATGCATGGGGGTGGGGAGTGCAGGGGGTCACGTGTGCATGCGCAGGAGTCGGGGAGCATGGGAGTTGTGTGAGCAAAGCACGGGGGTGTTGGGGAAGCAGAGCAGCTTGCGTGCATGCACGGAGTGTGGGGGAGCTTGGGGAGGTTGTGCACGCATGCACGGGGGGAGAGTGCACGGGGGCAGGATGCACGGGTGGTCACAAGCACTTTTTTTTTTTTGCTTTAATTTATATGCCGCCCTTCTCCGGAGACTCAGGACGGCTTTCAATGCGTTAAGCAATAGCCTTCATACTTTTGTATATTTATACAAAGTCTGCTTATTGCCCCACAATCTGGGTCCTCATTTTATCTACCTTTGAAAGGATGGAAGGCTGAGTCAACCTTGAGCCTGGTTGGATTTGAACTTGCAGTAATTTCAAGCAACAGATGTTAATAACAGTGCATTAGTCCACTGTGCTACCAAAGCTCAGTAGGCTTGATGCATTATGGGTGCGGGCATGCACACACGCTGTCACACACACACTTTCGGCATACGATGACAAAAAGGTTAGCCATCACTGCCCTATACCATTTCAGATAAATGTTCTTCCGGTCTCTTTTTGAAAGCCCCTAGTGCTGGAGGCAAGCCGTTTCACTGGTTGATTGCTCTCACCATTAGGAAATTTCTCCTTAGTTCCAAGTTGCTTCTCTTCTTGGTTAATTTCCATCCATTGTTCGTACTTCAGTGGGAGTCCACATGCCAAGAAAAGAAGATGGATAGATCCATGATGCTTTATAGTACACTTGGAAGACTGTATCCAGTCTTGATCACAAAGCTGTTGACACTCTAAAAAGGGTGCAGAGAAGCACAACAAAAATGATCAGGGGACGGAAGGCTAAAACGAACAGTCGCAGGAACCGTGTAAGCCTAGTCTAACGAAAAGAAGGGCCAGAGATGACAGGATAGCATCCTTCCAATATTTGAGGAGCTGTCACAGAAAAGAAGAGACTGACCTATTCTCCAAAGCACCTGAGGGCAGGAGAAGAAGTAATGGATGGAAGCTTATTAAAGAGAGATCCAACCTAGAATTAAAGAGAAATGTCCTGTCGGTGAGAACAATTAATCAGTGCAATGGCTTGCCTCCAGAAGTTATGGGTGATCATCACTGGAGGTTTTAAAGAAGAGAGTACAGCCATTTATCCAGAATGGTATATGGTCTCCTGCTTAAGCAAGGGGTTGGACTAGAAGACCTCCAAGGTAGGGGTGAAATGCTCCCGGTTCGGGCCAGATCAGCCGATCCAGTAGTGATGGTGGCGGGTGGTTCGGAGAACCGGTCGCAAAAATCCCTGCCTCCCCCGCCCATGCCCACCCAATCGCCTGCTTGCCCACTTGCAGCTTCTTTTAAAAAACTTTTAAAAGGTTAAAAAAAAAAAAGGCTCTGACGATCCCAGCTGAGCCGCCTGATCGTCAGAACCTTTTTTTTTTTTAACCTTCTAAAAGCATTTCTTTTACAACCTATTCGGCTGAATAGGTTGTAAAAAATATGCTTTTAAAAGGTTGAAAAAAGACTCTGACGATCCCAGCTGAGCTGCGCGATCGTCAGAGTCTTTTTTTTACTTTTAAAAGAAGCTGAGAGTTGGCAAGCAAAAGCAAAAAAAAATGCTTTTAAAAGGGAAAAAAAAGGCTCTGACGATCCCAGCTGAGCTGTAATAAAATAAAAGCATTTTATTACAACCTATTTGGCCGAATAGGTTGTAAAAAAAAAAAAAATGCTTTTAAAAGTAAAAAAAAAAAGATCATGCACCACAGCTGATCACCCCACCCCCCGCTATTCTACTTACCCCATGCCTCCTTTTGGTGTGCACTGCACGCGTACGTGCACCTCGCATTTGGTGCATGGTGTGCACTGTGCATGCGTGCTCAGAGCGTGCATGCCCAGCCAGCAAACTGGTAGTAAACTGGTTCAGATTTCACCCCTGCTCCAAAGTCCCTTCCAACTCTGTTATTCTGTTAAGTCACCAGGAGCTGAATCCGATTTGGAACAGAATGGCTCAAAAATGCCTTGGTTGTATTAGGTTTCTTTGCTTTCCAAGGACTCTACACAGCACAACATAACAATTCTAAACACAACACTTTAATTACAACACACACCTTCCTTATCTACCGGCTATTGCTTTGGATCACCTCCACCCAAGCGTGAAATGTTCCCAGTTCGGACCGGATCTCCTGATCCGGTAGCGATGGAGGCGGGTGGTTCGGAGAACCGGTAGCAAAAATCCCTGCCCCCCCCCCCCATGCCCAGCTGAGCCGCACAATCATCAGAGGCTTTTTTTTTACTTTTAAAAGCATTTTTTCTACAACCTCTTCGGCCAAAAAAATGCTTTTAAAAGTAAAAAAAAAGCCTCTGATGATCGCATGGCTCAGCTGGGATCATCAGAGGCTTTTAAAAGAAAAAAAGTCTCTGCCGGTCAGGCAACTCAGCTGGGATCGAGCCTTTTTAAAGCATTTTTTAAACAATCTCTTCGCCGAAGAGGTTGTAGAAAAAATGGTTTTAAAAGTAAAAAAAAAAAAATGGCCACGCCCATCCAGTCACATTACCTCCCCCCCCCCCACACACCAAGCCACAGAACTGGTAGTAACAAATTTTAGATTTCACGATTGCCTCCACCCATCTAGGACTTTGCAAGGTGATGTTGCCAACTAAAAATGTCTTTAATATTCAGTCCTTTATACCCAGTTTAAACAAAGTAGCATACACCCTTTCTCCAAACCCCTTTCCCCAAACATTCTTGTGATAATTGGGATGAGGTATAGCTTCGGCGTGGTTGTTCCTTTTTTTGTAATTGCTACTGAGCTTCCAGCAAAGCTCCAAACTCCTGGCAGGACTTCTACCAGGACATGCTGCTCACCGTAGCTTGCAGACTTGGCAGTTGAACGAAAGTCCTCACGCAAGATTGTAATAGCTGCCAACCTGCACGCATCACCTCCGCTTCCCTGTCTGTAGGTGATTTGCATTCATGCTTCGTGCTACACGCCCTTTCCCCCATTCTGTCTTAGCATTGGCTTTTTGTAAGCTCAAAAGACTGGGTGGGGTGAAGTTGCCTCTGGACATCAGCATGTCCTCGAAAGCACCAAGGTGTGGCTCAGGTAACACAGGTATCTGCAACAAAGGCTTGCATGCTGGTGAGTAAATGTATGAATGCATGTCTGAATGCACGAACGAAGTGCAGTGATGCATTTCTGCCTGGCTGCAGCTGACTGCAGAGCTGTGGTGGCGCAGTGGTTAGAATGCAGTATTGCAGATTACTATTGCCGACTGCCAGCAGTTCGATTCTTACCAGCTCAAGGTTGACTCAGCCTTAAATGGTGTCCAGTCTCTTATATAGCTGGGCACATGTGAGGGGGTGGGGGAGCATGGGGGGTTGGCACCCATGCATGGGGGGCAGGGCACGCAGGGGGTGCACACGCATTGCATTATGGCATGCGATGACAAAAAGGTATATAGTAATGAACCAAGAGTAATGAATTCTCAGAATCAGGGACACCCCTAGCTGCAGATCAGAACCTTTTTTTTTTATTGAAAAGTTTTACAAACAAAATTTTTTCCCCCTCACCATTCCCCCCACCCTCCTCCCCCCTCCCATCCCCCCCTACCCCCCAGACTTCCCAGAGCAAAATACAGGGTATTTCAATTAACAATCATAAACTAAATTAGCCTAACTATTCTTAAACTACCTAATCCCCCCCTGAAACCTTAACTTCACTATGGATAACATAATACTTCTAAAGTTTAACATTCATTCATAAGCTATTTGATATTTTCTTGTCTGATACTTATTTTGAATATAATCAATCCATCTTCTCCATTCCGATATGTATCTTTCTTGTGTATAGTCCTTCAGATACGCTGAAATTTTCGCCATTTCCACTAAGTTCGCTACTTTCAATGTCCATTCTTCAATAGTAGGCATAGAGTCCTTCTTCCAGTATTGCGCTACCAACAGCCTAGCTACTGATATTAAGTTCAAGATCAGTTTAGTCTCTAATACTGTACAATCCGTCGTTATACCCAATAAAAAGAATTGAGGAGTAAATTTCAACCTTTTTTTCAAAATGTTCTGCATCACCCACCAAATTTTTATCCAAAATGCCTTGATTTTCTTACAAGTCCACCATATATGATAATAAGTTGCATCATCACATTCACATCTCCAACATTTAGCTTGCAAATTCAGGTACGTACATGATAATTTTTTAGGATATTCGGAGACCAGATCAGAACTTTTTAAAGCCATCAACTCTCTGGGTCCTCCAAGACTGTTAAATTTGATTTACTGCTGTTCTAAACCTAGGGTCTCCCATAATTCCTCACAATTGGTTATGCCAGTTGAAGCATATGAGTTTTGTGGTCCAAAACATCTGGGACACATAGAAATGGATTCTATGTTTGATGAACTTTGTTCTTATCCTTCTTCTCGCAAATGATAGCTCCTTTGTTAGATACGGTATTTGTTCCATGAAGAGTCCTGTCCTTACAGTGTTACGTCTGCTTTCAAAGGTTTCTATCCGGTTGGATGGGGAGAACAAAGCCTTGGAGTACAATGCAATTGGACTCACCAGAGATGCTGTGAGAGTCGTTTTCAGAAACGGACCTGTCAATGACCTGTTTGATCGTAACTGGCATAAGATTGCACTGAGCATCCAGTCCCAGACGGTCTCCTTGTACATCGATTGCAAACTGGTCCAGACATTACCTATTGAAGACAGAGAAAATATTGACATTCAAGGGAAAACGGTGATCGGCAAACGCCTTTATGACAGTGTGCCAATTGATGTAAGTACCAGGAACAAAGCTCACCAAAAAAAAGGGGGGGTGGGATCAGTTCTACCACCAATATTGACTGTTTCCCTATGACTATCATTAAGTGTTGTACCTTATGATTCTTGATGAACGTATCTTTTCTTTTATGTACATTGAGAGCATATGCACCAAGACAAATTCCTTGTGTGTCTAATCACACTTGGCTAATAAAGAATTCTATTCTATTCTATTCTATTCTATTCTATTCTATTCTACTCTACTCTACTCTACTCTACTCTACTCTACTCTACTCTACTCTATTCTATTCTATCATATTTCTAAAATGTCATGTTAAACTGTGAACATAGTGCTTGTAATTCCATTACAAATTTTCAAGAACTGCATGGCACTAAAATATCTTCAATTCAGTATAGATGTCAACTCTGAAGCTGACCTGACTGAGGCCATTATGGAAGCTTCAGTATTGCAACACTGGAGCTGAGGGATGGGGGTGGGGGAATAGAGATAGCTGGGGTTTTGTAGCCAAAACAAAATAATTTCCCCTGTAAACTAAGGACAAGGCTGATAAGAGGAGGAGAGAAGTTTCCAAGCAATCAGACAGCACCTTGATTGGACCATGTGACTGATTCTTTGGGAAAGGGGGAAAAACTTTACTTTTAATTAGGTGGAAACTGTGGGAACCTTTAGAGTCGGTTTTCACCAGCCTGTGCCCATATGATATATCCAATAAACCTGTTCTTTGAGGAACCTGCTTGCCTCGGAGTTCTGTTTGCTATGGGTGTATTACTTGGAACCCTGACAATAGAATAATGACAGATTTAACATTTCATGACTATGGGAGACATGATAGCAATGTTCCAATATGCTTGAGGGGCTTCTACAAAAAGGCAGGGTCAAACTATTTTCCAAAGCACCAAAAGGCAAGACAAGAAACAATGGATGGAAACTTAAATCTTGCTAGAAATTTCTGAATTCTGACACCACTTCTAAAATCATCGAAATAAATAAAAGCAAATAAAAGCAACACACCAGAGATGGAAAGAATTGTGATTTTTTTTTTTTTATTCTGCTGCTGCTGCTTTTCCTATCCTGAGGTGGATTTTAAAAACTAGAATTACTCTAGTTTTAAAAACTAGAGAAGGACTTTGAGGCTTAAACTTCTAGATTTCTTAGACAGAAATGTTCACAGTTTCATGTCCTCGGTTTGATTAACCAGTTTCTAAAGTGTCTCACAGCACGTCTTTTGCCTTTTTATATTTCTTCTTCCAAACTTTCTGGCCTGTAAATGTTTTCACATTCTTCCACTTTTCTTTTTCCTCCTTGCAAAGGCAAATGACACTATGAGGATTGGCATTATGTCAGCAAATACTCTTGTGGGCCCATTATTTTGCTACAAACTCAGGTCAAAAATGAACTGACGCCATTTCTTTTCCTTTCAGTTCGACCTTCAGCGGATGGTTATTTATTGTGATTCACGACATGCCGAGCTTGAAACCTGCTGTGATATTCATTCTGGACCTGTAAGTTTAAAATGTAGATCTGCTTTGCAAATGTGCTTATGGACATACCATGTAACAATGGCTCTTTGTTATACCTTCCAACTGAAGGGCTATATTTGATTGAGATACTTTTTTTTTTTTAATTTGATTTATATGCCGCCCTTCTCCGGAGACTCAGGGCGGCTCACAATGTGCTCAGCAATAGCCTTCATCCTTTTGTATATTTATACAAAGTCAGCTTATTGCCCCCACAACTGGGTCCTCAATTTACCTACCTTAGAAAGGATGGAAGGCTGAGTCAACCTTGAGCCTTGGCGAGATTCGAACCTGCAGTAATTGCAGGCAGCTGGTTTTAATAACCAGCTTAATAACAGGGTGCCTTAGACCACTGTACTACCAAGGCTCTTTAACAGACTAGTCACCATTCTAGAGAAAATATAGGTAGCCTTCAACTTACAAGTACGGTATGTTTTGAAATTTCCATCGTAAGCCATTGTTGCTATAAGTCAAGTCAGACTTGATTTTATAACCATTTTTTTTACAACAGTTCTTAAGTGAATCCAGCCACCCTGCATGGATTTTTGGCACAAAAAGGGTCACAAATCATGACTACAGGACATTGCAACCAGTTGTAAGTGTGAGCTGGCTGCCAAACACACAAATAGATCATGTGGGTTCAGCACAGGAGTGCTATTCAGCAGGCTCTGACAGGTTCTGGCGAACCCGTAGCAGAAATTTTGAGTAGTTCAGAGAACCGGCAAATATCACCTCCGGCTGGCCCCAGAGTGGAGTGGGAATGGAGATTTTGCAATATCCTTCCCCCAGGAGTGGGAAGGGAATGGGGATTTTGCAGTATCCTTCCCCTGGAGTGGGGTAGGAATGGAGATTTTGCAATATCCTTCTCCTGCCACGCCCATCAAGCCACGCCCACAGAATTGGTAGTAAAAAAAAATTGAATTTCACCACTGGTTCAGCAACAGTTGTTAATGCAAGTATAGGTCATAGATCACTTTTTCTGGGGCTGTCATAACTTGGAGCTGTTGTGAAACGAAGAGTTGTAAATTGAGGCCTACCTGTGTTAATTTTAATAGTGAAGAATATATGTAGTTCAAGGTTGAATTGTTGGGTTCTTAGCATTCTCTGAACTTGCTTGTCACATTCCAGATATGTCACTACAGGCGATGAATCATCAGTGCATGGGGGAATAAAGTTGGCAAACGTTCTTCGCTTGTGCTCTGATTTTGTTACTTAGACTGGTGATGAAATGTCTTCAAGCTCCTCAAAATACCATTGCCATGTGGTTGTGGTACGAATTCAATCAGACTGGGAATAATCATCTTTGATGTCCACTTTGTTGTCTCCAGAATTTTCTTGGAGCTTCATTTACACTGTTAAAGGAAACAAAACAGATGTTTTTATCACTCCTTCCCCTTTTCTCCTCCTTGTTCCTTGCTCCTCCTTTTCTGTGGCCTTGGCATGGTGAAAAGTCCAATCACAAATCTTTAGAGAAGAGCAATTTTTGCAGGATCACCTGAAGATGTAAGAATTAGTACAGCTGGTAAAGCATCCTTTGTTTTGTATTCATATAACATGGCTATCTGGAGTTGGTTTGGTTTAAAATTAGGGAACTGGAGGCTAAAACATATAAAGAACGGTTGCTGGAATTGGGTATGTCTAGTTTGATGAAAAGGGATGACATCATGGGGTGACATGATAGCAGTCTTCCAATATCTCAGGGGCTGCCACAAAGAAGAGGGGGTCAAACTATTCTCCAAAGCACCTGAGGGTAGGACAAAAAGCAATGGGTGGAAACTAATCAAGGAGAAAAGCAACTTAGAACTAAGGAGAAATTTCCTGACAGTTAGAACAATTAATCAGTGGAACAACTTGCCTACAGAAGTTGTGGATGCTCCAACACTGGAAGTTTTTAAGAAGATATTGGATAACCATTAGTCTGGAATGGGATAGGGTTTCCTGCCTAAGCAGGTGGTTGGACTAGAAGACCTCCAAGGTCCCTTCCTATTATTCTACTCTACTCTACTCTACTCTACTCTACTCTACTCTACTCTACTCTACTCTACTCTACTCCTCTACTCTATTCTATTCTATTCTATTCTATTCTATTTTACTCTACTCTACTCTACTCTACTCTACTCTACTCTATCTACTACAACTCTACTCTACTCTACTCTATTCTATTCTATTCTATTTACTCTACTCTACTCTACTCTACTCTACTCTACTCTACTCTACTCTACTCTATTCTATTCTATTCTATTCTATTCTATTCTATTCTATTCTATTCTATTCTATTCTAAAATGTAGCATTTCTAGTCCCGTCACTGAATCAAGAGTTGTGTTTGCAATGACTGACATATTTTGCTTAGTGCACACTTATCCTGGTCATGAAAAGCCCACTACTGAAGAAGCTTTGAAGATAGCTTTGGATCATTCTGAAGTCATTCAGCATCAATGTTGTGCAGCTGAAATCAATAGGAGTACAAGTAGTCCTTGACTTACAACCATTTGTTTAGTGACTGTTCAAAGTTACAACGGTACTGACTTATGACTGTTTTTCACATTTATAACTATTGCAGCATTCCCATGGTTACGTGATCAAAATTTCGACTCTTGGCAACTGACTCATATTTATGATGGTTTATGATGGTTTATGATGGTTGCCGTGTCCCAGGGTCATGTGATCCCCTTTTGCAACCTTCTAACCAGCAAAGTCAACGGGGGAGTCAAATTCACTAAACAACTGTGTTACTGCACCCACAACTGCAGTGTTTCACTTAACAATTGTGGCAAGGAAGGTCGTAAAATGGGGCAAAACTCACTGAACAACTGCCTCATTTAACAGCAGAAATGTTGGCCACAATTGTGTTGAGATGTGGAGACTCTAGAAAGAGTGCAGAGAAGAGCAACAAAGATGATTGTTGGGGACTGGAGGCTAAAACATATGAAGAACAGTTGCAGGAACTGGGTATGTCTAGTTTAATTAAAAGAAGGATTAGGGGAGACATGAATACGAATAATCCCAGATCTTCGCACTTTCCGACGTGCCCTGAAGACCTTTCTGTTTCAACAAGCAGGGCTAGCATAAATATCTAAATTCTATGCCAAGATTTTAGCAGATACACCAAGTTGACTCAATCTATTATTTACTGTTATGTGTGTGTGTGTGTGTGTGTGTGTGTGTGTATAGTTAATATTTCGGGTTTCTTCCCATGTAATTGTGGATATATCCCTAAAAGGGTAGAAGCGACGTTTTGACAGAATCTCATCTGCCATCACAGGCTTTGTGTTTGTGGCCGTGCGAAGCCAAACAACAACAACGCAGCTCACCAGCTCAAATCCCCCTGCAACTCAGACTAAGCTGAGCACAACCAAGCCCCCACCCAAACAGAACACACCCCCAGCCAATCAGAGCACAACCAACCCCCCATCCAATCAGAGCACAGCCAAGCCCCTAACCAATCAGAACACACCTCCACCCAATCAGAACACAGCCAAGTCCCCACCCAATCAGCTCACACCCCCACTAGCAGTTAAAAGGAAGAGACAGCTGCGATCTCACATTGCTCCTGGAAGCACGAAGCCGAGAACACCAGCCTGAAGATGACGAATGAGACTTCGTCGAAACGTCGCCAAGACACTTCCAATTTTATGTGGGAGAAGACCCGAATAACCAAAGACCTACAAACACACACACACACACACACACACACACACACACACACACACATATAATTATATGTATATGAAATCTTAATCTGTCACCGACTCAGGGCCCTTCGGGAGAAGGGCGGTATAGAAATTCAATAAATAAATAAATAAATGATAGCAGTCTTTCAATATCTCAGTGGCTGCCACAAAGAAGAGGGAGTCAAGCTATTCTCCAAAGCCCCTGAGGGCAGGACAAGAAGCAATGGATGGAAAATAATCAAGGAGAGAAGCAACCTAGAACTAAGGAGAAATTTCCTGACAGTGAGAACAATTAATCAGTGGAAACAACTTATCTCCAGAAGTTGTGAATGCTCCAACACTGGACATTTTTAAGAAGATGTTGGATAACCATTTGTCTGAAGTGATGTAGGGTTTCCTGCCTAAGCAGGGGGTTGGACTAGAAGACCTCCAAGGTCCCTTCCTACTATTCTATTCTATTCTATTCTATTCTATTCTATTCTATTCTATTCTATTCTATTCTATTCTATTCTATTCTATTCCTATTCTATTCTATTCTATTCTATTCTATTCTATTCTATTCTATTCTATTCTATTCTATTCTATTCTAATTGTGGTCATAAGTCAAGGACTGTAGTGCCAAATATTCTCCAGATATACATTGTTGATAAAAGCGAGCTATTTCTTTTTCATGAAAAACATGTCTTTTCTTTTCAAAATCCTATTTAAATCCTATTTATGCGGTGTTATTATTGTTTCTGATTTTTTACCAATGTAGTGTCAAGTGACCATAGTTACAGATGTTCCCCCTACTGTAATTCCACCAACTGTTGGAAATGAGCATGTTGGACCTACCAAGACAGTCAACTGTTCCTGTCCTCCCGGAGAAAAGGTTTGTATCTGCATTCACCCTGTTATAAACAAGAGCCACTAAACTCAAGGGAATTGGCTTCAAGGGATATTCCTTGAGTTGTGGTTACTGAAAGCTCAGCATATCATCACAGGAATGGACAACCTGTAAGCCTGGGATTGCATATGGCCCCTTACTAACACCACTGGATGACATTGCCAGGTCTCACTGTTTCAGCAGAGTAAGGAAGATACTTAGGGAATGATTCACACCCTGGCCAGTGTCTTTTTTTCACTTTTAGCATCGGGCAGAAGACAGAGAAGTATAGCCAGCTGGACAAACAGGTTTAAAAACAGCTTCTACCCATGGGCTGTCAGACTCCTAAACACCAGGGGTGAAATGCTCCCGGTTCAAACTGGATCGCCCGATCTGGTAGCGATAGCGGTGGGTGGTTCGGAGAACCAGAAGCAAAAATCCCTATGCCCCCCCACCATGCTCAGCTGAGTCGCACGATCATCAGAGGCTTTTTTTTTTACACTTTTAAAAGCATTTTTTCTACAACCTCTTCCGATGAAAAAATGCTTTTAAAAGTTAAAAAAAAAAGGCTCTGATGATCACACGGCTCAGCTAGGATCCTCAGAGGCTTTTCAAAGCATTTTTTTCTGCAACCTCTTGGCCGAAGAGGTGGTAAAAAAAATGCTTTGAAAAGTCTAAATACTATGCTATTGCTACCCCTCCTGAATATCTTTCTTCATCTGTTATGCAGCTGTGGGACTCACCCTCTCTTATCCAATCATTCTCTAGGCCACATCTCTTCCACCTTTTTCTCAAGGTTTTCCTCACGTACAATTACATCATATGAATTTTACAGCCCAAATATGCCAGCCTCAATTAAAACCGCTGTGTTTTCTTCAGTCCCATGTAGTTGTTTCAGAAACTGCTTTCAGTAATTATTGCAGATGTACAGAACGCTTACACAGAGCCACTAAGTCAGGATTCATAACATGTGAGAAGCAATGATGAATTTTGCTATTAAACAGTCTCCATTTTTCACTTCAGGGGGAGAGAGGCCTTCCTGGATTTGAAGGATTGAGAGGACAAAAGGTTAGTGTTGGCCAAGGAATAAAACGTATTTTAAAAAAATGAAACATAAGCTGCATACATGTTCTTAAGGATTTCTTCTTCTTTTCGGTCTACCCTCTATGCCAGCGTTCCAAGTAATGCACCCATTGAAAGTAGAACTCTGATGTGAGTAGATCCCTCAAAGAACAGTTTATTGGATACATCATATTGGCACAACTGGTGAAAACCGACTCTAAAGTTCCCCCAGTTTTCACCTAATTAAAACGTGAAAGTTTTCCCCTTCTTTCAAGTCATCAGTCACATTGTCCAATAGAAGTGCTGGCCGGTTACTTGGTTACTCCACTCCTCCTCTCCCAGACACCTGTTGGAATGACCTTGGTTCCCACAGGAAAACTTTTTGTTTTGACTGCAAAGCCTCAGTTAACTATTTCCCCCTCCCTGTCCCCTCTTCTGCCTTGTGGCAACCCTGAAGCTACAAATATAGCCTCAGCCAGGTTCGCTTCAGATTGACAGTCTACTGGTTTTGCAGCCTTAAATAGAGAAGCCATTTTTTAAAAAAAATTGTAGCACTTTAACTAATAAGGGAGGCTTTCACGGAAAGACATGAGAAATTGCTAAAAGAGAAAGCAACTGTTCTGTGATGACCACAACACTTTTATCTTTTAATAGCCATCATCTTAACAATGGCTGGAACATAAGATGATTCCAAAAATGCTAAACCACAGCCAACTTAATAGAATGAAATGCAATTATTGAACAAGATGCCTGTGTAAGAAATCAACCTTAAAAACTCATTCCATTTAGAGTGTCCCACAGCATCTCTAAAACAGTGCCAGATACAATTCAGATTCCTGTTTAACACTTAAAGCATGCCTGCCTACACAAATGGTCTGATGTATGGAGTGGTTTGTTTAACATTGGCATTGTATTAAAGGCTTCTATTTTTTTTTTCTTCTTTTAATGTTTTTTTCACCCATGATTTATGTTTGCACGGTACAATGGCTGGATGATAATATTTTCCATTACTATCTTTGCAGATGGCATCTGTAAATGCTTTACAGTTATGTTGCTGTCTTAGTTTATTAGAATTTAGGCCATTGGGCACTAGAAAAAGACAGTACAATAAGGATCAGACACATTGTAGATTTATTTATTCTAATTTATTCATGAGATTTTTGGATCCATATTTTCTGACTAACTCTGTAGCTCTGGAAATAGCAGATACCATTTCAGCATCTCCATGAAAGCAATATTCTTGGCTACAGGTCCTGTCTATGCAATCTTTTATCCACCTCCTCCACCTCCTCCTCCTCCTGCTCCTTCTCCTCCTCCTCCTCCTCGTCTTCCTCCTCTCCACAAATCCCACTACATTTCAACACTGATGGTGTTTCCCATTTGGGTAATGAAACGTCTCAAGAAAACAACCAAGATCAAAGAGCACCAACAACAATCCCATAATTTCCT